GGACCTCTCTACTACGCTCTCTACTGTAGTTCAATCAGTCTCTGAACCTACAGCACCAACCTATAACTACCTTAATACTTTACTTCCAGCTTAAGACCATTCGTAGTCCTAAGCCTACACGAACAGATACGTATTGGATAGATGTCAAGTCTAGTACTTAAGAAGATTGCTACTCAGTTGTAGTATACCTACCTAAGTTTATATACGGGAGGAAGTACTTGAATACTACGCGTGCGTCACTATCTTTCCTACTAAGTAGTTTATTACAAACAAACCAGATTATACAGAGATATAAAATACTACCTGAAGCAGTCCAGTAACCTGTTATGCACAACAATGAAATATAATAAGTAGAGAAATTACTAGAAAGAAAGATAATAAACACACAACTGGCTATGGGCACGTTAAGAGAGAGAAAGCTTTATATAATAAACGCCAACAATCAAATAGATTTGATTGTAATGAAACACTGAAATTAGCTAACTGTCGCTTCCCATTTATATCTATTTCCACCGGTGGCATAACCTAGGTACTATGCTCCTCTGAGAGCGTCCCCTTAGGGAACATAATCCCGTCCGTCACTCACTGTAATAAGTGCCGTTTCGCGTATACACGCGACACTCCCGAGAGAACAAGAGAGAGGCGAACCAGTGACGCCCAGGCTATGTGAACTTAAGGTGGATAGGGAACGGTTGGGAGTGACATTTACGTAGAATTTAAGGAAAAAAATTTAAAGTAGAAAGGAATAATAATACATGTTTGCAAGACAGAAAGAAACCAGACAATTAAAATTAAATTAGAAACGAAGTACAATTGAAATTAGATAAAAAAAATAAACTAGTTAAATTGCATTACTTTAAAAATTACACTTTCCTTTTAACATTCTTGTTAAATATGACACTTTCTTTTCTTCTTATTCTTCGTTACGTGTTGCAAGTTTGCCCATCTTTGGGTCTTTTCACATTTTCTGGGTTCTTTTTGACCGTTTTTACAATAATAATTTGAAAATTTACAAAGAATATGAATGAAGAAAATATCAAAAAAAGAAGAATAAAAAAGATAAAGAAAAAAGAAAAGAAAAAATAAGAATAAGAATAAAATAAGAGAAAAATTGAACATAAAGATAAAGAAGAAAAAGAAAATCAAAAATTGGAAAACTATGAAGAAACCTGAATATTACTACCAAACTTTAATTAAGGCTGGTTGAATTCCTGCGGCAATTGAGAAAGCTTATAAAGAAAAGAGGAAAAAATCTGAACTAAAATTTGTCCTTACGAGACAATGACTATTAATTAACATTCATCACGTCGCTTCTTTATGGAGCCTTCGGTGGAGTGTAACGTTACAAAAACCTAATTACATAATGTATGCGGATATCCGCAAACAAACGCAGTCCATAGAGATGATCTGCATAATACGTCATCATCTCCTATGATAACGAGACCCTCCTTTGCTCTTGATAGGGCTGCGATTGCTTTTCGAGGGTCTAATACAAACTCAAGGTTCCTTTCCGTTCCGCTGGAAAACACTTTCGTTGTGATTATTGTGGAATAATCACATCCTTGTCCTCAATATTTGTTGATGGTATTAGCTCCTTTCAATTGCCTTGACGGTCGCAGAATAGTAGCATAGAATAACAATTCTTGCGTAGGGCTGTCTATTTTTGACATATCTTGGAAAGTCTATCGCGGCGTCGTTTGCTGGATTATTCCTCATCTTATGTATAGTCCCTTCGTGACCCATATATACGACACTTTCCGTAATAGTTCCATTTGAACTGTTTCGGCCATAAATTTTGGTTGACGCAGGTTGATAGCTTGCTCGGCTCAACCTTCATGAAAGGGAGATCCCTTAAGAGGTAAACGCTTCATTATGTAATTTCGTATGAGTCATCCGGGTTCTAATCTTTCGAATGTTTGTCAAGTACTTCTGGTACGCGACATAACTCACACCCATCTTAGATTATAACGTGTCTTAGTTGTCATATGTATTATAAAAGTAAATTTAAGAAAAGGAAATAATAATTACTTGGCGTTGACTAAAACCCACGAATTAAATTAAGGACAACTTTTCAAACGATAACGTCTAGAACAAAATATTGTCATTACTACAACAAAAGATTAAAATTGAAAGTTACAGGGAAAAAACTTTAAATTAAAGTTATTTTAAAATTACACTACGAATGAAAATTAAACTCAAACTCGGGAAATAAGAACCAACTAAAGACGAAAAGTAAATACCTTTCAATGAGAAAATTTTAAACTACAATGAAAATCAAATATAATTACTCACTGTCTAGAACTATGGTCCTAACAATGAGTTTAACACAAGTTCTTAAATAAATATCTTTGAATCGATAAACGATACGATCAATTCAATGCAACAGTAACGAAAATAAATCGAAAACAGAGAAAAAACTCAAATATAGAAACTTTACGTAATGCGGACTGCACCTCACTAGTAATTTGAAATTGATACGAAAATAATACAAAAAAAGCAAATATATTTGATACAAACTTTAAAAAAGCTCAAAATTTAAATTTAAATCAATAACCACAAATAACAATTTCAATTTAACAATATTAAATTACTTTAAAATTACTTCAATAATCTTAAACAAATGAAATAAACAACAAATTAACTTCAACCTATTTGAAAATAACGACGGAATTGCACTTCATTGGAAATAGCTGAGATAGCGGCTGAACGACAACTTTCCTATTTAGAAAAACGATTTCCACATTCTTCGCATAGCCATTGTTCCGCTTCTGTATGTTCGTCACTCTTCCCAACTTCCATTCTCCCCTTCGGAAATTAGGTTCTTTCACAAGCACGACTTCTCCTAATTTTAACGACGTTTCAATCCATTGCTCAAATCTTTGTGGACCATCCGTTGTCTTTTTCTTAAGTTTACTATGTATTCATTTTGGAACTGGTTCCTGTATGTGTCTATCATCTTTGGATTTGCTTTCTACAAGCGTACAAATTCTTTCCTTTTCTGAGGAGGAATGTAATTCTTTTCATCTACGTCTCCTACTGGGAGCATTCTCATCGTTTCTCCTGTTTGGAGGAGGTTCACCGGTCTCAGTTTGGCCATTTCTGGTTTATTACATTTACTAAGAAGGTCTTCTTTCCTCAACTTTGTTACAACACTCTTCAACCGTGAATGATAGAGACCATACTTATCAGCTACCAGTTTTTCAACGTTCTTACATGGTCAATTCACGCTGTAACAATTACTTTTGAATTTTGAAGTTTCATGAGAGTGTGTCAGGACTTTATCATCATCATTCAAAACGGGCGAGTCTTTGCTTCCCAAAGTTTCCAGGTCCCGGAACGTTTCTATATCTTCCGTTTTTATACAACATGCAAGTACGTTATCTTCGTCCTTCTCACTTTCTTCTCCAATATCTCCTTTTCCCAATAACACTTCTCCGAGTCTCGTCGGGATTAAAAACAGCCTCTCCAAAGTCTTCCTGAGGCCTAATTCTGTAAGGTTCCAATAATAGTCTACTCCTATGAGAATATCAGGCTTCACCACTTTCCTCTGAACCGACTTTCCCAAACTGTTCTCATACCTCATCTTCAGCAACGTATTCATTTTCTGAATTACACTTAAATTCAACCGTTCGTACTGTCTGTCCTTCAGTTGTACATCCATTCCGCTTTCGGTAAATAGCATCGTTGTGGCCTATGTGCTGCAAAGGTATGTAACATCAATTCTTCGGTTCCCAAAACTTTGAGTTGTAATTTTTTTGCTAAATGTTCTGTTACAAATGATCGCTGGCTCCCGATATCAAACAACACATATGCTTTCGTCTTATTTTCCTTCTTTTCGGGACTACAGATTACAGCCTTCGTGAGGGGAAGTATTATTGCATTACTAACTTCGGTGTCGACGTTCTTTACCCTAAGAGTAGCCACTTGTGCGTTTTCCTTTTTTATTTGCGTCGTAGGAAAATTCATTTCTCTCTGTCTATTGCCAAACCTATCACAAAACGCAGAATTGTGATCCTTTTGACATTAATAGCATTTCTTAATGATCGTACAATCCTTAAACCTATGATTAGGTCTTAAGCACTTAATGCACAGTCCTAGCTCATAAGCGCGTCTCTTTCGTTGTTCTAGTGCATTATACTTCTTGCACTCACTATTGAGATGCTCCTCTTTACAAAATAAACATGGTCTTTTAATCTTAATCCTTCCGATTGCTGGTTCTGCCACTTGACATGAAGTCTGTCTCCGTACCACCTCTCTTCCGCGAGTAGTGTCTACCGTCTTTAACTCATCTTTCCTAACATACCTTAAGGAAAAAGTAGTCCCCACGCACCCCCGGGCTTCAATTATTTCGTGTAATAACTTCATTAACTTCTCTAAGCTCCACTCTTTTTCGCATATTCAATTTCGCGCGTACGATCTCAAGTGCAATATCTTTAGGAACCTTATCTTGTAGGATCATTACAATAGCTGTTTGATCGATCATACCCTCGACGCCCCTGGCTTGCTGCAGAGTTTTGTCAATTTCCTCCACTGTCACTCGTAGGCTTGCAACCGCTTCTACAGCTCTGGGAATATTTCTTAACTGTTGATATACCGCATGTTGATTCAATTCTTCTTCACCAAACCTTTCCTTTGAGATATCTACTGTCTATGCCTAAACATCTTTTCTACGCGGTAGGTATTCAATAGTTGATCTCGCTTTACCTTGCAATAGTGAAACTAGCATATTGAACTTATCAAGAGTACGTAATGAATTATTATTATCGATGGTACTAGAATAATAATCCTAAAACGTCGTCCATTGCATGGGATTTTCGTTAAATCTGGGTACTTCAAGTTGGGGAAACTTAAACTTTCACTGATTTACTTCAAACTGTTGTAACATTTCTTGTTTGTCTTTCTCTTCTACCTTCCCTCTCAATTTACCTAAACGGGTGAACATTCTTTCGATGACAACTTCACCTTCATCAACCTGGTTGATAAAATCTACTCCCTTAACAAATCTTTCATACTTCTTCTTTTCGCCTTCTATCTATCACCTCTAACAGTAGTCAACAATTGACTCCATTCTTGCTTTTCCCTCTCAATCTTCGCATAGATTTTCATCATCCTCTGCTTAAGTTCCTCCAACTCCTCTACTTTTGTCTCGGTATCTGACGTTTCTTCAGCATCTATGGCTCTCAATATCTCA